TTGCCCTTCTACCTGCTGGAAGGTGTGAGGGAGCCCTTTTTTCTTATTTGCACAAAAGGACCTGACATGTGCTAGTGGAGACCCAGTGTAGGTCTCTTAGTAGGTGCTTACTTAGTGCTTGCTGAATGAGTGAACGAATGAACAAACAAACGAATGAAAGAACATAGTGGAAGGCAGGATCAATAAGAGGCTTCCATAGTCATCTAGGTCTAGGTTAATGAGGCCCTAAATAAACTAGGATGTAATCACTGTGTTTACAGAAAGGAGGGGATAAACATGAAGAAGAAGCAACAGACTGTGGGTCAGATTAAAGTTTCCAGGATGGCAAAGGAGAGAGGGAATAAAAATGACCTCCTGCCTATAATCACCACTAAACTTGACTCTTCACAAGAAGAGTAAGGACAATGTGGTTGCAGATCCGTCCTTTTTACCCACCTCTGCATTGCTCGCTTTTTTAGGTGATAAGGTAACAGGAATTCTGTACCTCTTATGTATGAGGCCCTGTGCTGAGCAGTATGGAGACATAGGCCTTCCCCTCCCTCAGAGGGCTCAAGATCTGGTTGAGGGTGCTGGAGACAAGATTCCTGATGTAAGGCTGTGCTGATTAGCATCACAGATGGGAGACAAGTTTCAGATAATCATAGTAACTAAGTGCATGTGCTTTACTGCTTTTGGTAACTCTCCCCTGTATGAGGTGGCTATATGTTGCTTCTCACCGAAGAGGAAATTAACACTTAGAATGACATGGCAGCTTGCTTCTCATCCCATCTTCTGAATGCCAATCATGGTATTGGGTTGAACCATATAAAATTATTTTCGTAGGTCAAAAATGGTCAGATATCCCAAATTGCATATAGTCCATCTTAATACTTTCTACTATGTTATGCTGCCATTTGAGACCTTTTGAATGGTTTTATTGACTTGTTTTAAGCCAGTTATAAAAGAAACTCTTTTTAAGGAGCTCCTGGCTGGCTCAGCCAGAAGAGCATGTGACTCTTGATCTCAGGGTTGTGAGTCTGAGCCCCACATTGGGTGTAAAGATTACTTAAATAAATAAAACTTTTAAAAAAGGATTTTTTTTTAAAAAGAGTGATGCTTTTTCTAGTAAATATGCAAAATAGGAAAAAGTGTGCAGAAGCAGAAAAATCTTAATCCCAAATTCTACAGTTGAGGGGCATCCTTAATAACATTTTGGTGTATTTCCTTTCATATATTTTCCCTTGTATTTTTTACAAAGTTGAGGTGTATTGCATATATAATGTTTTATCCTCTGTTTAAAAATAACAGTAATTATCTTAACATTAAATATATTTATAAACATAATTCTTAACAATATCATCATATTCCTTGAATATGCTATAATTCATCCTACCATTGGACCCCTGAAAGTTGTTTTCAGTTTCTTAATATTATACATATCTAGTCTTATTTCCAATTATTTTCTTAAGATAGATTCCTGTCTATTAGTTTGTTTCAGCTGCTATAGCAGAATACCATAGACTGGGTGGCCTGTAAACAACAGAAATTTATTTCTCACAGTTCTGGAGGCTGGGAAGTCCAAGATCAAGGCTCCGACAGATTTGGCGTCTGATGAGGACTCACTTTCTGGTTGTAGATGTCAGTCTTTTCACCATGTCCTCACATGGCATAAAGGGGCAGGGAGCTCTCTGAGGCCTTTTTTCTAAGGGCACATTCCTCAAGACTTAATAACCTCGCAAAGGGCCCACCTCCAGATACACTGGGGATTATGATTCAACATATAAATTTTAGGAAGACACAAACATTCAGTCTATAACAATTCCCAAAAGGAATTTTGTCAAATAACTTGAAATTACTGGGTCAAAAAGTAGGAAACATTTTAAGTCTTTTGCTTTGTGCCATCAGTTGCCTTTCCAGAACGCTTCTGCCACCTTGATTAACTTTAGCCTTGATAGCAGAACTTTATCCTTGATAGCAGTTCTTGGCTGGTTCTGATTTGGTTGTGAGTAATAAATGCTATAAGAGTTTAAAGAGCAAATTTAAAGAATAGTCAAGAAAGTCTCAAGATTCAGGTGGAACTTGAACTGAACTTGAAGGATCCATAATGTTCAAGTAAACTGAGAGGGAAGACTTTTCCATCAGAAGCACAGCAGAAGCAAAGGTACTCTGGAAACAATGACTGTGGCATGTAGTAGAGATGGTCAAAATCTAAGTTTCCTAAGGTAGATACTTACTGAGTGGGAATAATGGGATATAGATTGAGAAAAGGAATATCAGCTGAGAGTGAACTTAATCCTATAGGTAGTGAGCTGTTGACAGATTTTGAGCAGGGGAAGGTATGAGCAAAGTAATGTTTTAATGATTGTAGAAGACTGGGAAACCAGAAACATTAACAGTGGCAGATTTTTTTTTTTTAAAGATTTTATTTATTTATTTGAGAGAGAGAGAGAATGAGAGAGAGCACATGAGAGGGGTTAGGGTCAGAGGGAGAAGCAGACTCTCTGCCGAGCAGGGAGCCTGATGCGGGACTCGATCCAGGGACTCCAGGATCATGACCTGAGCTGAAGGCAGTCGCTTAACGAACTGAGCCACCCAGGCGCCCAACAGTGGCAGATTTTTTTAAAGTGATCATCTGTCTTAAAATTATACTTCATATAAATGTGCTAGGAATGATTTGCTCTAGTGCTTAGCATATCATGGTGGTATAATTTACAACATGAGCTATGTCTGGGAGCTCAGGCTTGAGATTCAAATAGTGTAGCTTGGAGACCACAGTGGCTGGATCCAAAATGGTGGTCAGAAGCTATTTCACATGGAGGAAATCTCAGTTTTCATGAAGTGAAGGTCAGATGCCAGTGAACAGAGATGTCCAGACATTTACTCTGTCAGGTGAAGTGAGAGGTATAGTAAGGTCTTTCCACTAGAGCTGTTCTCAATCCTCTCTTTGGGTTTTACATGTGCAGTTACAACAAATTCTGATGAAAAGTAATTACCCCAAGCATTTCCTGGTAAATAAGATTTCATCTCTTTTAATTGCATTTTTACCAATTCTAAGGAAATGAGTATGTTGCAAATTTTGGTTTCTAGTGTGAATAAGTAAAATGTGATTGTTGCTGTTAATCATTGTATTTTCTTCCTTTTTAAAGATAAACCAGATATTTTCAGTCAATGCAAAACAATGGCAGATATTTCAGTTATTCTTCAATTAGCTGGTCATAATATATATTTTTTCATAATATATTTTATATTAAAATGTCTTATATAACATGTATACTTTTTTTAAGATTTTACTTATTTCAGAGAGAGAGAGAGAGAGGGCGTGCAGGAGGGGCAGAGGGATTGGGAGAGGGAAAATCCCAAGCAGACTTCCCACTGAGCATGGAGCGCAACTTGGGGATCAGTCTCACAACCCTGAGATCATGGCCTAAGCCAAAACCAAGAGTTAGATGCCCAACCAGCTGAGCCACCCAGGTGCCCCAAGACATGTACACTTTTAAAATCTATCTGTAGCTCACCATACCTCATATAGCACAATGCTTATACTGTGGAAAAATAAGACTCAGACTCAAGTTTTATAGTGTATTAAGGTTGGCTACAAGAAGGAATGAGGGGCCACACACAAAATTGGTAGGCCACCAAAGAGTGAATCACTTTTCTTGAGATTCATTGTCACAAGGCATACTGTTCATGGCAAAATGTTACAACTGTGCAAAATATTTGATGGTATTAACGTAGGATAACTTCCAAAAAGGGCTTTCATGAAAAATGCAGCTGATATATTTTTGTAAAGGATGATGTTGTTTACTCAGGGCAGAATAAAACATTAGGGTGTTTCTGACTTGCCACGGCTTTAACCTTTCCTTAACTGGGCTCTTCATGACATATAGTTTGTCTGTTATGGGAGGGCTGGCTTCATAGATATGTGACCTGGACAGTCACACATGGCTCTGTGCTTAGAAGGGTCTGGTGCTTGGTTTGATGTTCTTCTGTCACCATTTTTAAATTCCTAATAAATTTTGAACAAGGGCCTATATGTTCATTTTACTCTGGGCCCACAAATTATGTAGCTGGTCCTGATCTCACCCTCCTTTACCATGTATTATGGGCTAAACCATAGTTTTCCCAGCACCAAATTATGGACCAGGTTAGGAGCGAGGGCTGTAATGAGCCAAACAAGCTTCTGACCAACTCCTCTTACTTCCACAGGAGGCTAAACTGAGTCCAGGAGGGAATGGAAAGAGAGAGCAGGGGTCAGAAAAAGGCAGGGGCTATTGACAGCTAGTTTCTCCACTAATAACAGCAGTTTGTACTCCTGGTACACCAACCACCGCATCTGCCAGGCTCTCACTGAGCACTTCATGTGCCTTCTTTTCTTTCACTGAATCCTCTCAACAACCTGCAAAATTAGTATTATTTTTATCGATGAGGGATCTGAAGTTTTCGGTAATGAAGTTGCCCACGATTCCAGAGCTAGTAGTGATCTTTTCCCATTCGTATTCTTTCTGCTCACTTAACAAAGTAGCCAACCATCCTTGTCTGTTGATAAAATTGAATTTGAATCACTTATTTGCCTACTTGAGACTCATTGGCAGGGAGAGGGCCATAGACTAATGCTTACATAAGTTGTTTATTTTCTGCTTCTATTTTCATATAATTGTAGATAGTTATTTAGGACCTTCTGGATATAAATTTCTTTTCTTTTTGTCCATAGATACTATCTGGATAATATATTAATACTGGAAGTCTTTTTCCAAGATGAAATAGGTACACACTCCTTCTTTTGTCTGAAGGTCGTCTCAATAAACAGTGCTATATATATTTTTAAACTTCAGCCAAAATGACATTTTGTTTCTTGGTTATTTCTGTTATTGTTGTTTTTCTAGTAGTTATATGTGATTGTGATCTGCTGAAATTAAAATAGATTATCATGTTTTCTATTTTAATTTTGCATTAAAATAAGGTTTTTCAAAAATTTATAAATAGATTCTCTTCTAGACTAACCCCAATTATGTCTCCTGCAGGAAACCATTTCTGGCAGCTGATGTGCCCAGGCTTGGATATAGTTCCTCATCCAATCACAGGTACATTCCCCGGAGGGCAGTGCTCTATGTACCTGGAAATGATGAAAAGAAAATAAAGAAGATTCCCTCCCTGAATGTAGATTGTGCAGTGCTCGACTGCGAGGATGGTGTGGCTATGAACAAAAAGGTAATAGCATGATTTTTCCTTAGGATGGGAAAAAGAAATGGATTGATATTTGGTGCTGTCTTGGTAACGTTGCTCACTAGTTGAAAAGACTCCACCATAGTCATCTTTTACTGATTACTGATATATTCTTGACCCAGCCTTCCTACAGGTTCTGAATGTGTGTGTCTCTTTTCTCCAAGAGAAAGGAAGAACCCAACAAAAATATACTTAAAATCATGACCTTCAGTATATGTGACTACGTGTATATATTAATAAAGAGATAGACAATCCGTTTTGGCTATGCAATTTACCAGTTTGGGTAAATGAGTTAATCCGAGAATTGTGGTGTAAATTTTTTAGACCAGTGAGATGCAACTAGGAATTTATTTCTTTTTTTAAGTAGGCTCCATGCTGGAGCCCAATGCAGGGCTTCAACTCATGACCCTGAGATCAAGACCTGAGCTGAAACCAAGAGTCAGACGCTCAACTGACTGAGCCACCCAGGCGCCCCAGGAATTTATTTCTTTTTAATATAGAGAAATGGCCTTATCTCTTCTGGAACAAGTGCCAAGAAAATAAAAGATGGACTTCTACAAATAAGTCACCATTTTTACTACTTAGTTTAAGGGAAACTAGCTGCAGAACTTTAGAGTTGCAGCTTTTGGCTGATTTCCTCATGGCCTGACCAGAGAACTGAGCCTTAAAAAATATCCCATTGCAAACAGGTACAAGAGGTTCTTACTGGGTGGTGGCATAATGAGTGCTTTTTGTTTCATTTGGTTTGGTTAACTTCATTTTCCAGGTTTTTATATTGAAGATGTATTTTGTTCAGTAATTAGGTGTAAATCATTATAACAATAATTTATGTTTACATGGAATTTTGTAAGTTAAAAACATGTTTTTACTTGATCTTTCTCTATCTAGTACCTAGACAGTGAGGTTGTCTGGGAATAGATTGTAGGGCTGGGGGACAGAGAGAGCTGACCATGTGGATTTATGCCTATCTGGACACTTTCTTCTCTTAAATGATCTGAAATAGCATGGCTGTAGAACTTTCTTGATTAATTGCTTTCCGTGAAGAGTCTAGCAAACAAATATTTGCCTTAATTAAAAAAGAAAGAGTTAACTTCCAGCATCTTCCTGATGGTCAAATCAAGACTTTCCAAGTATTTGGAAAAGGATTAGAATAAGCATGTGGAATCTAAAGCGTCTCCTCGACATCTTTGGCATGCCCCAAGGAAAATACAATTAATCTTCTTTTTCCCAGAGATTAAGGTAAATAGGCCTTTTCTGGAAGGATATAATGTGCGTCCAGTATGCTCCTTTCCAAAACTCATGTAGTGCACTCTAAGATTAGATTCTAAATTGTAATTTCAGTTCTTTGTAACCCAGGGCAATTCACTTTACTTCTGTGCCTCAATTTCTTATCTCTACTGTGGGATGACAAAATCTTCTTTTGTCAGGGACAGGGATTATTATGAGGAAAAAGTTTGATAAAATGCCTGGGAGTAGCTTGATTTCCTATAGGAAATAGATTAGATAAATCCTGTAGTAATCATGATTAGAGGGGAATTTATTTTAGCATGTAGCACAGTGAGCCATTAGGTACCCTGATAAACTTCTAATTATATTTCTTCACAAATCTTGAGGCTATCTTCCCATATCCACCAGATGATGTTTCCTGCCACCCAGATAAGTTGGAAATATGGTCCATTCTCGCCTCCCATTTCCTTACTGCTCACCTGTGTTCTCAAGCTCATCCTTCTACCCAGAGCCTCTACTTACGAGGAAGCTAAGGAAGGGAAGGGGAAGGAAGAATTCATGATGGGCCAGCTGTGCCTGCCATCTTTGCATTTATATCCAGACAGTGTCTTCATCAGGACACTCCAGTTCTCTTAATGTAGTTAAACTTCCCATTAATTGCTGGGCCTGTAAAAAAATTTTTCTTAAAATCTCTATCCAGGACTTAATTTTATCTCATATATTTTATTTCATAGCCCTTACCTATCAAGGTCTTTTTGGATTTTGATTTCATCATCATTTATAGCATTTGAGAATTTGGCCAGCATATCATATGAAAATTTAACAAGTTTCTGATGGAAATGTTGGAGAGGTTGGAGCCAAGTACTGCACAAGCATGCAACTAGAAGCTTCTGTTCATGTTATATTTGTATAGTGCTGACTAAATGCCAGGCACTGTTCTAAGGGCTTTAATTTGCATAACAACCCAGTGAGATACTACTGTTACACTGTTTCTACAGATAGAAGCTGAGGCATGGAGAAGTCAATTTCGTGAATCAATACTGTGAGTAGGGTTATTCAGTCACCTGATGCTCCTAAAATCCAATCTTTTCATAAGGATATTACAACAGATTTTTATCTCATTCCATTTCAAAATAAAGATACCATCCCAATTTACCTGCCTAGAAATACCTTCTCCCCCTGCACTTACACCTGGCTAGAAAAACGAGGTTAAGCAGATGAGACTTGATCTTGTAGAACCCATATCAGTACCTAGTTATTAACATCTTCATTTTGAAGTGCTGGAGATAGAAAAATAGTAACAGGGGGCGCCTGGGTGGCTCATCGTTAAGCATCTGCCTTCGGCTCAGGTCATGATCCCAGGGTCCTGGGATCGAGCCCCACATCGGGCTCCCTGCTCCGCGGGAAGCCTGCTTCTCC